TCTTCCCCTGCCCCTTCCTCTTTCTTTCTTTCTTTTTTTCTTTCTTTCTTCTTCTTTTTTTTTTTTTTTTCCGAGACAGGGTTTCTCTGTGTAGCCCTGGCTGTCCTGGAACTCACTCTGTAGACCAGGCTAGCCTCGAACTCTCAAACTCAGAAATCCGCCTGCCTCTGCCTCCCGAGTGCTGGGATTAAAGGCGTGCGCCACCACCGCCCGGTTCTTTCTTTCTTTCTTAAACTTAGCTTAGGGCCTATAGTTTTGCTGAGCTTGGTGGTTATTTCTAAAAGGATTTCCTATGTAAACAATCAGTCATCTGCAAAGAGTTTTGATACTAACCTTCTGTGCCTTTTTCTTACTTGTAACCCTTTGATAAAAACAAGAAATGGAGCATCCTTTCAAATACAGATGACTAAATGAGTAATTAGAGCTTGGCTAAGAGTGAGCTGTTAAGCAGCTTTCGAAGATCATCGGTAACATAGCTGCTAATCACAACAGGGCAGAGTGAGTCAGTTCAGGTGAGGAAGCCCAGCCACTCACTGTGGGAAATCAAAGCTGACATGCCCGGGAGCAGGAGAGATTGAAATTGTATTCTGTTAATAGCATGTAGAAGTAATTCTTATGGAATTTGCTCAAAATCAGCAGTAGACTCTAAAATCATTTCGAGCAGAAGAGAACTGAGAAGCTATTGCTGGCAGCATCTTCCTCATTACCAGAAAGGAATTGTTTTTTGTCTTGTCATTACACAGTCCAGGACTGTGAAAGCACGCCCCTTCCTACTAAGAATCCCACTGCATTTTGGGCTCTTCCAGGCTTTTTTACAGTTCTAAGCAGGATGACTAGCAGCCTATAACAGCTCTCTGCTTCACTTTACAGGGACAAACAGTCACGAGGGGCTTTAAAGTATGGTTGGTCAGCCTTCAGAGAAGAGGCCTTTGAGCACAGTTCAGAGGCAGAGTCCTTCTTCTAAGAATTTATTTTTAGTGCTTCCCTTTATAGTGTTGAGGTGAGAGGACTTGTTGCAAGAAACTGACATTACCCCAGTCAATGGAAAAAGGACTTAAAGGGCAGGAATGCTACAGACTGTGACAAGTGGGAATTGATGAGGGCTCTGAAAGGACCCATGGGCTGCAGAGTGGAGGCTACTACCTGTGGCTGACACATTATGCTGTGTAGGCACCTAAAGATGACACTGTCACCTTTACCAGAGCTTGCCAGCCTGGCCTGCAGTGGACTGTAGAAAACTGGCTTCTGCCATGTGCCTCCCTGGGGGCAGTAGATCAATATGCAGGAACACAGCCCTGCCTCTGCCGTATACACATCAGAAGGTACCTCATGAGCATCCTCCCCTGCATGCTTCCGGTTATCCCAGCCGCTGGGCAGTTCCCTTTTCACCCGCTATTTTTGTCCTGTCATCTGTCACTTAGCAAAATGAGCAGGCCCACGTTTCTGCTTTGCTCACTTAGTTTTGTTAATAGTGCCCTTTCTCCTTTCCCTTCTAACAAGTGCTCATTTGCTTCATAAGGGTGGAACTCTCGAGTTTGAAGAGCAATGCAATGAGCGGGCATGCGGTGGGAAGTCTGGTGTCTGGGCAGACCTCAAGACTTGCTTAGCTGTCTAGCTGTCTTCTTAGCTAATGAGGACTGCTCCTCTTGACATTGCTTTACCTCCCTACCTTCAGTCTCCTTTGTACAGTGGAGATTATGATTATAGCCACGTTGTAGAATATCGTCTCAAAGTCTTGATGAGGTTCTTGGTATGATGTGGTTTTCAGTGTGTATTAAGTTTCCTCCTGTGTTGTTGCTGGAAACAAGATCAGCACTGGCCTGTGCCTTAAATAGTGGTGAACGGGGTTTGAGCATGGCACCTTCTAGCACATTGAGTGTCACACTTACACAAAGATGATGGCACACAGAAGCCATGGAGGCTGGATCTGGGGCCTAGCGTTCCCTGGCTGTCTCTATGCTTAACTGTCCACTTGCTCTTCACAACTTTTCACCACATTTGGTATTTTAGTGGGTTTCTTTCTTTTTTTTTTTTTTCCCTAGAAATCTCCTGATAATGTCATTTCCCTTTTTCTGTACATAGTTTTCAAAGTATATTCCAACTACATATTAAGTCTACCTAAACTAGTGGAGCTGATTCACTGTTTTTAAGGTAATACAGAGGAATAAGTCCAGTTCCCGAGTGAGTATTTAATTTCTACTTTTTTTATTTTACTCTTGCTCTGTCAGTTGGCAAGTGTTTACAATGAGTTGACTCCCATGTGCTCTCCTTTTGTGGGAACTGTATTCTTGTACACCTCCTTTAGGGCCCAGAAGTTTATAAGGCCTTCCCTAGGGATAAAGGAGTCCCCATCTTACACTGCTCACCTCATGAGCTGTTCCAGTGACAGATGAATTCTGGGCAGTGAATCGAGAAGGACACAGATGTCAGAGCCATGGATTTATAAATGGTCTGGTAACTGGCTGCTTTTGTCCAATCAGCGCTTGGCCGACCTCACCTATAAAGAGGCATAATTATTCAATTATAGCTTCTATCTGACAAGAAAAAACAAAAACAAAGAAAAAAAAAAACCCAAGTGACACATGTGTGAGAATGTGAAGGTAAAGGGTCCTGGGGTTCTGGCACTGGCCCAAGGTTTAGGCAGCTGAGCCGAGGTGAATGCCGAACCCCACTGACCTTTAGCACCAATTACAAGTCTTTATAAATATTCATGTCTTCCTGAGAGATGAGAAAACCATTTTTAAGTTCAAAAATAAAAAACAAAAATAGGATTTTTAAACCTTTGAAATATAATTAGCTTGAAAATTGTGCTGCAGCACTTGAAACAGCATTCTGCCCTTGGCTTTTTCTCTAATCGTAACTTGAAATCTGTTACAGTTTTCCTTATGAAGGTGCCATCTTTATTCTCCACGGTGTCCCTAGCACACCACACAGCTCGAGAGGGTGGCAGACCGGCAGCTTCGGTAAATGTCCGGGTTGTATTTTCAGTGTGACAGGCCACATCCCTGCTCTCTCTAGCTCTGACACTGTAGCACACTACAGCTGTAGATGGTGGGTAAGCATGCTAGAGCAGTGGTCTTACAGTGAGTTTACAAACCCAGGAAGCAGCAGACTGGGTTGAGGCATGAGCTGTGGTTTGCTGAACCCAATGATGATGTTAAAAAAAAACAAAAACACAATGCAGCGAGGGTTTTGATCATGGTCTGAGACGGAGCCTTGTGAACTATACTAACTCCTGTGACTATCCAGATCATGTGTAATGAATGCTGCAGAGTGTTTAGTTCCCATGACCCATAGAGCAGTGGTACTCTAATAGTGACAGTCAACAAGCCTGAGATTGCACCTCTTTTTTCTGGCAGGATCTCTGGGTCTGGCCCACTGACTGTCTTGGGGACAAGGCGTTATTAAACACAGACAGCCATTCTGCTTTCATAATAACCACAGAAAGTGGTCATTTCAACAACAACAACAACAACAAAAATGACTTCCAAAACCTAAAGTGGTGGCCTTACCAAAGATGTTTGCCGACCTGACTGTACTGTGCTCTTCAGGACATAGTGAAGAAAGCTGCAGTTGTGACTCAAAGGCCTGTAAAGGGTATGAGGAGCTAGCCAGATATCCAACGCTGCCTCAAGAGCCATTTTTGTCTTCACTGTTTTACATGTTAAGGATGTGACTCAGAATTAACTGTAGTGGTGAGTCTGTCCTTAGTCAGATGCTAACAACAAAGTAGTTTTTTTTTTGAGGAATTTGCATTCTTCAGAGTGGAACTAGCCAGAGTGCTTGCCATGCTAAAGGAGGAGGTGAGCATGGCCCTGTGCAGCCAGCAAAATCGTGTGCATAGCCTCTGCAGAAGCAGGACTATGCGGCAGATTAGGGCCTGTGTCCTGCCTCTTGATGCAGATCTTATGCTGGCCTTTATTTTAAAGATAACTTAGAGCTATTGTTTTTGAATAATACAGTTTCTAAAGGTGAGGTAGAGGGTGGTCTCTGAAGATTAGCTGGTGATATGGGAACATGTAACTGACTTTTTTTTTCTGAATTCATGAATTCCCTGAAAGCTGGTGCTTGAGCTTTTCTCAAGAAAAGTTAATTTCCATGTAAGTCACAAGAAAGAGAAGCTCTGACCTGTGTTTGTTATATGTGTAAACTTCATGTGTTTACTATCCCACAGAATTTATTCTAGCTCTAAATCATTCCCCAGTGCCCCTTTAGTGCTATCTTAACTGTCTTCCATCTCTGCTAAGCCCCCTTTGCTATTTCTCTTGTACTGTACATTCCGGCACTGGTGACACATCTGGTGCTGGGTCTCATAGACTTCTGCTGTGCTTGTATTTGCATGCTTGTGGTCTTCAGTTTTGTGTCTTAGACTCAGATAATTCCACCTCTTATGTTTTATCTTCTTACTGGCATTTTCATTGGTGCCCAAAGCAATGCACTCATTCTCCCTGGGTCTGCCCATATTGATGCCCTGTAAAAGCTGACACTCTGCTCGACTGCGAAAGCCAAGCACTAGTCCTGATTCCTCCTCCTCTCAGCTAGTCATTCCTGAGTGCCACCTCTCGGGTGTCTTTCCGTTCCATTTCCTCTTCATGCCGTAGCCTGACCTGGCTTTCACCACCCAGATCATTACATGTTTCTGAACATGTCTGCTTGCCTCCCGGTCATTCTTCACGTAGCACTGCAAATGATTGCTCTAAACCCGGAATCCGATCACAGTGCTGCTCTCGGTAAAGTTGTCCCTGAGTTATCATTCTTACAATAAAGTCCAGTTCACTACAGTGGTTTGCAGAAGCCCTTTCGAGCCTTGTGTCTCTGTTGTCTAGTTAGAATGCAAGTGCCAACCCTTAATGGTGACTGATGCCCTCTCTCACTCTGTTACATGGCTCTTTCCATCCTCACTTGTGAGCTCGCTTCCATTCTTAAACATGGTTGCCAGCTTCTCCTGCTAACGCCTTGTCTGAATTTGTTGGTGCTTGGTGATTCACAATGCCTTGTATTTTCTCTTTTGAGGCCAGTCTGGGCAACATGAGATCCTGTCTCAAAATAAATAGATAAGAACAAATTTCTTGAGAGTAGGAATTTGTATCCACAGAGTTTAATTTAGATTGGAACATACTTAATGATCATTTTATATTAAATAAAAGTACGGTGTGAGCTGCTCCTCTGCCTGCCCATAAAACTCCAGGGTGATTGTTCTCCCCTGTGGCACTACAGACTTTTCTGGATAGTTTTTCTCCATCTATGTACTTTAGGGGAATATATGAAATAGCAATTTAGAGGGATGTTTTTTAAGTTGTCATATTTTAAACTTTAATATTAGTATGTTTGTTTTAAGGTTATTATAGTAATTTTAATAGGAGCCTATTGTTGGGATGCTGACCTTACCATCATGATTATAGGCACTGGGGTAACTTGGTTACCTCTCAGTCTCTGTCTTCATTAATCTCTCCCTGCTAAGTAGTCTATGCAGATAGGTTTGATATTTACATTTAGTTCATTTAAAATTATCCTCTCCTTGAGAAGAAGCTGCTATATATATGGGCATTTTCTTTATTCTAGTCTACCCTGACATTTGCACCATCAGCCTTGTGGCCGTGAGTGACGTGAACAAGCATGCTGATAGAATTGCCTTCTGGGATGACGTCTATGGCTTCAACATGTCCTGCATGAAGAAAGCAGTTATACCAGAAGCTGTTGTGGAAGTTGTAGATCACAAGACTCTTATTTCAGACCCTTGTGATATCAAGGTAGGTGGGTGAGCATTCCCTCTGTGTCTGTGGACCTTGAGTCCCTGCATAAGCCACAGTCCATAGATGTGCAGAAAACCCTTAGGCAAAGTGAGGAAGTATCTGCATGTGGCTTGCATGCATCACATTTTAGTTATCACTTACTTCCCTTACATTTACTACAAGTGAGGACTGTTCAAGCTGTAGACTATTGTTCATGGCATCTGAGAGGCTGGATGTCTGCACACACAGACAGGCGCAGGTAAGAAAATCCAATACTTTTAGTTCACAGTTTCTTTGATCAAGGACCTGGAGTCACAGTAGAGGGTGTCTTCTTACTGACTTTCCATGTGGGCTTCCTCTGACTTTAATTTACTCTAAAGCAGGCTCAAACTTGCTTCTAGGCCTTCATTGCTTAGAATTACTTCTCTTTACTCCATTTATTGCCCTTCAGGTTCAAGTCAGGAACTGGTTGAATTACTTATATGTAGTCTAGCCTCCTGGGCCAGAGGCCTGCATCTGCTGCCTGGCCCCAAGCTGCCTTCTCATAGATCATTATTTTCATCTTATACTCCACTGTCTAAGTTCTTACTCAGACTTCTTCCAGCCTCGTTAGATTAATTAGCATGAACTGAACTGAAACTACATGGCAGCTCTTTTGAATTCCTCCTTAAGTCCTTCTGTATTTTATTTTTGTCATGTTAACCTATTGATTTACTGGGACTGTTGATTTTACATGGGCTCACCATAGCTCGGCAGGACGAGTCACACGTATTGAAGAGTGTGAAGATTTCAGCTGTGGGTTTCGGGCAGTGTCTCCTTCCTTTTGTAGTATATAGCTATTCTCTGCATAAAGGAGACTCCTCAACAAGCAAGCCCGATTAACTGTGGAGCCACTGGGCGCCCTGATGCCCTGAGGGCCTGCTTCATGCTCTGCTACCCTGGTAGGAAGAGGCATGTGGAGCTGTTTGAATCAGAGCAGAGGGGAAGAGTTACTGCCACCTTGGCTCTACTGCAGCGCAGGAGGAAGTAGGGGGAAGGAGTGCTAACTTTGCTTGATCCCTTAAATTGCTATGAGTAGTTGAGGTAGCTGGTTTAGGACTGAAACTCCAGCGTGTTTAGTAGATGCTCTGTGATATCAAACTTGCCTGTTCAGCGTTGTTTTATTTTCATTCTTCCTACACCTAAAAGGCCCTACACTATAACCTTCTTTAGAATGTTTCTTCAAGTATCTTAAAGAGGGTAATGTCCCAGGCTATGGGTCCCAGGCTATTCTACCACTTGCCACCCCTTCCCAAAGTGACTTGGAGAACTCGAGCCAGGACAGAACACAAAGAAATGAGCTATTTCTTTCAAAGATGAATCCTCATTTCTGCTGTTTGGTTTGAATTATTGTGGTTTTTCCTGTTGTTCAAGAAACACCTTTAAATACATTGAGAGATAAATTTTTCCTGAGAGTCTTTCCCTTCACCAGCATGTGTTTAAAGTTACCATTTCCTCTAAGACGATTAATGTCGTAGCCGGAAACACAGCAGGCAGATGTGGGTGATGTGTAGTGATAGTATGTAAGATGATCTTGGGTCAAGCACAGAACACTAGGTTTTAAATTTGGAAGTCATTAGTGTGTCAGCAAAATGGCAGAGTAAAGAGTGATTTCATAGATACTATTGCTTACAGGAAATCAAAGCAGGAGATAGCAACTTGATTTAGAGAAACATTAACTAACTGTTAATATTCCTTTAGCTTGGAACGACTCCTCCGAATGGTGCCTGATTAGAAGTTAGGGAACTCTGGTTTGCAGATGTCTTGCGGTAGCCAGGCGTTGCTGTTCTTGTTTACTGATCTTTTCTTTCTTCTTTCCGATGGGAAGCATATAGACTGCCACACCACATCTATCTCAGACTTGGAGTTTTCTTCAGATTTTACCCTGAGAACCACAAAGGCGGCCATGTGCACGGTAAGCTGGCTCTTCCCACTTCCACAGATCTCATTGGCAGTGCAGTTGATTGGCAGAGTAATAAATTAATTACCAGACTTGTGATAAATGAAAACAGCTATTGCCATTGACAGTCTGTCTTTGCCTTTGCTATCACTGGACAGATCTGCTTAATAGATGACTAGAATTCAGAAAAGTCACCGCGGCTGGGGATGCTGATGAGTGCCTGAAATTTCAGCTCTCAGGAGGTGAAGGGTGACCACAGCTAGATGGCCATGTCTCCTACAGCTAGTTTATTTAGTAGACAGATGTGGGCAATCTTGGTTTTTTATTTTTCTTTCTTTTTTTTTTGGTTATTATCTATCATACTCAATGGAGAACTTTCTATTTTATCTTCAAAAACAAAAGTTCTTACTGTATGCCTCCCAGTAGGTCCCCACACCTAATTTAGACGTAGAGTGATAGGCAGATCCAAATACGTATTTGACCTGGGCTGTAGGTCTATTTGTTTATTGAGATGGAGTCTCACTGTGTAGCCTAGTTCTGTCTTTGTAGGGACAGCATACTTGTATGGAGGGATCCAGGCCATTTAAGCCCAAGCTGTCAGGGAATTGTGAGAAGTTTTAACTGAGAGGCAGGTGTTCCTATGTAGTTCTGAATGTTAATGCCTCTGAGAATGTCTCATCACAGAGTTTATGGTAAAATGCATCTTCCTGTGATGAAAGGAGTGTGACAGTCCTTGAGCACATGGGCATGACACTCAGTTGTCATGATCATTTAGGTTGGCTTGGTCTAGGATACTGCATTGTCCTCATGAGGACTGGAAACTTCTGTAAGGTTTTACATGCACAAAATGCTCTATCTTTTCCCTAAAAAGCCTTGTTCCTTAGTGGAATTGTCAGACTCACCAAAAGAACATGAGGAAGCCTTAACGAATAAGACTGTGCAGGAAGCCATACTAAAAATGCATCTGAAACAGGTGGAATGCATTGCACTCTAGACATGGTGACCCAGTAGTCTAGCAGCTGTTAAAGGGAGAATCTTTGTGCAGTCAAACCAAGACAGAGCTAGATTTAGCTGAGGAAGTAGGCCATGGATCTCTCCTTTTCAGCAAATACAAAGGAAATCCTCAGCTGGAGTTATGGCTTGGCTGGTAAAGGGTTCAATTCTCAGTACTCATATAAAAGTGAAAGGTGAGATTGATTTTTCAAGTTGCCCCCTGACCTGCACTCATAGAAAGTCCTTTAAAAAAAATAGATCTTTGAGATTTTAAATCTTGTCTCTTGGAGAGGACTGAGATGTTTGGTTAAGCATCTGCATTTCCAACAAACCTGTTCCTTCATAACATGCTCATATGATCAGGAGCTTGACATGAGGATGTTTCTAAAACCTGGTGCTCCTAGTGACCTTTGTCATTTACAGCCTGGCTCACTCTTTTTGTCTGCATCACCCCTTTGTAGTCTGGAGCTATTGTACAAACATAGTTTCTGAGGCAGCCCCTGTGCTCATGAAGAATAATCCAGTGCAGACATATTTCAGAGGATGGGTATCTAATTAGAATTGTTCTGCTTCTGTTTGGGCAGTGCTGATGACAGGCAGAGCTGGTGAGCTGATAACAGACAGCTCTGGAGATGGGCAGAGCCAGTGACAGGCAATGCTGGTGACCAGTGGAGGGCTGTGGAGCAGCCTGGGGAGTGAGAGGAGAAGTTTCTTTCTTGTTTTTGAGTAGAGGGAACAGTCTATGGATTTCTCGTTCTGAAGCTAGACTACATAGTGACAAGATAGACCGTTTCTAAGAAAGAAGTTAAGCATGTTTAAATATATGCACAGCCATTTGTTTCCTAATGAGATTCCAAATTTGTGGTCTAATTAAAAAACTAGAGAAAATTGGATTTTTCAAAATAACAAGAGTACCCCTTGGATTTAATTTCCACAGCGTGTGTGCTGCGGGCTGATAGGGCTCAGGGTGGTTCGAACCTTCCATGAGCAGACACCTTGTCTTTACACAACCCCTCTCTTGCTCACATACACACACAGAATGAACATTTCTAAACAATTTTAATTTACTAAAGCTTGTTGACTATAAAACTACAACAAATACCTTGATCTTGTGAATTCTAGCTTTTTGCTATTTGTTTTGATTCTTTATATATGGTGTGTGTGTGTACGTGCGTGTGTGTGTGTGTGTGTGTGTGTGTGTGTGTGTGTTTGCTTGCATACATGTATGTGTGCCAGAGAAGGACACTGGGTGTCTTCCTCACTTGCCTTCATGTTACCTTGAGACAAAGTCTCTCATTAAAGCAGAAACTCAACTTCTAAGCTAGATTGAGGCCAAGAGAGATCCACCTGCCTCTGCCTCCCAGTGCTACTGTAAAAGGTACACAGCCGTGCTCAGGGCCTCATTCATAATGCTAGGGCCTTAGCTCAGGTCTCTGCTTGCACAAATGCTGATTTCTGCTTAGCATCTCCCCAACCTCATCTGTGTCTTCTAATTTGCATTTAATGTCATTGTGTACCTGTACCTGTGTGCTTTCTTACTGTGCCAGGCGAGTTTATAATGCAATCTTTCTAAACCCCTCACCAGCATAGAAGAACATCTCAGCTGGGCATGGAGCATATGCTCTAATCTCAGCACTTAGGAGACTGAGGCAGGAATAATGCACCAGCTTTAATTTTTTTCTCTTTAATCAAGGTGTGTGTGTGTGTGTGTGTGTGTGCGTGTGTGTACATATATATATGAACGCTCTGTCTTCATGCACATAAGAAGAGGACATCAGGTCCCATTACAGATCGTTGTAAGCCACCATGTGGTTGTTGGGACTTGAACTCAGGACCTCTAGAATAGCAGTCAGTGTTCTTCACTGGTGATGCTGCTCCTAATATCTCTTAAGTCCCTCTTAAACTATGTATACAATCATTTTTAAGTTCTATATTTGTTGCCTCTCTAAGCCAACCCTCACTATGTTTCTCTTGCTTTTCTTCTAATTATGAGTTTCCAAATTCTATTTCATACTTAATATAATTATTAACCAACTAGAAAAGGAGTGCAGTGGTTAAGAGTACTTACTACTATTACAGAGGACCTGAGTTCTGTTCCCAGCACTTATATGGCAGCTCACAACTCTCTGTAACTCCAGCTCCAAGAGATCTAACATGATCTTCTGGCATCTTTGGGCACTCACTCACATCTGACATACACACATATGTGCAAATATCATACACAGACCCACACACATAAATAAAAACAATTTTTTTTTGGTTGTTTTTTCGAGACAGGGTTTCTCTGTGTAGCCCGGGCTGTCCTGGAACTCATTCTGTAGACCAGGCTGGCCTCGAACTAAGAAATCCACCTGCCTCTGCCTCCCAAGTGCTGGGATTAAAGGCGTACGCCACCACTGCCCGGCAATAAAAACAAATTTTAAGTGAAAAAAATTAATGGTAGTTATTATACAGTAGAATAAGGCCAGGCTGACCGTTTGCTGCCCTGACAGTCTGACCAGCACCTGTGGAAGGGACGCAGAGGTGGTGTGCAGGGTGTGTCATTAGGGTGAGGTTACATCCCGAGAAAAGTCCCCATCAGGATTGGACTGTTGAAGAGTTGGTAGGCGGGGCAAGTGGTGAGCTTCAAAGTGCTCCCTGAAGGCTGAGTGCTACTTGACTTCCCTGATTCTCCCTCTTGCTCCCTCACTCTTTTTCTTGACTCAGGGTCTTACTAAGAGCCCAGGCTGGCCTTGAGCTTGCAGTGGTCCTGTGTTACTTCTCAAGTACCAGAGTACAAGAATGTGTGACCACACCCAGCAGCCCTCTGTTCTGGAGAAAGTTTTCACTGAAGTAGTTTAATAAGCCTGTTATAACTATACTTATACTTATAGATAGGCTCTAAAAGACCTGAACAACTATTACTGTTACTGTTACTATTACTGTTACTGTTACTATTACTATACTATTACTATTACTATTCTATTTCTATTACTATTCTATTCTATTCTATTACTATTCTATTACTATTACTATTCTATTACTA